ACCTCCACTGTGCGGGATTAGCATGGCCGTTGGCAAGTAGAGGCTGTAAATCCTTCTGATGGGACATGGGCCCATTGATACCATTACTGAGGGAGGGGGAACTGGGGTTTGCGGTGGACGTCTTTCTGTCACAATTGGGGGGCTCTGAGCAGTCCTGACCGTCTCCTTCTGATGTGGCCTGGGCATCGTCGGGGGTGTCTAAAAGAGCCATGATGTAGAGTGGTGAGGAGAGGGGAAGAGTGGGAGAGTGACGAGGGGGGAAGGCTGAGAGGGATGTGAGACCAGAGGGTATTGGATAAGTGAGGAGTCGTCAAGGGAAGATGGAGCTGGGTGTGTTTATTGAGCGGTCATGATGAAGGTCACGTTCAGGTGAGGCGAGCTAAGTTATGTCGAGTCGAGTCGATTCAATCGAGCGGTCGAGAAACTTTGATGTTTGGTGACAAGTCCGAGAAAGGGGAACACGAAATATGAGTGAATTCCACGTCTGACTGACAAGATGGGAGGGCGAAAGACCGAATGCCGACTGCTTATGATCCATCCCTCCTGCTGATTAATAATGCTGATTGCTTCCTACCCACGTATTATGTAATTAATCTATTCCAACTCCTGCCATGCCAGCAGTGCACCGGTTAGGTTAGCCTCAAGCAAGTTTTTTTTAATTCCCGCCAACCCTGGGACATTCTCACGCGCCACTCGGTATCACGCATGCAATCACATCACTCGGCAAACATTATTTGCAAATGAGACCTTTTCGCCTTTCGCCCGAGTGATAGGCCTAGCAAGTTCAGAACAAGCTCGTGACGGCTCACGGGCCGGTCCCTCGTGGGAACAACCGAACAACTATACAGTCATTGGAATCAAGGTTCATTAGCCACAGCTGTGGCAACTGCGACGTAGCAACAATCGACCGACGACTGACACACATATAATCCGCCCTCGCTTTCAGAAGAACGAAGGTCAGCCCCCTGGTCCTCCTCGTGAATATTCACCTAATAAGACAAAGAAACGCGATCATGGTCAACCTTCGTTCACAAAAGCGGCTTGCCGCATCCGTTGCTGCCGTCGGCAAGCGTAAAATCTGGCTCGATCCCAATGAACAGTCAGAGATTGGCAATGCCAACTCACGGACGCACGTTAAGAAACTTATCAAGGATGGTCGCATCATCATCAAGCCCACAACCGTCCACTCTCGTGCTCGCACTCTCGATCTCCTTGCCGCTAAGCGCAAGGGTCGTCACACAGGCGTGGGAAAGCGGAAGGGTACCGCAGAGGCTCGTATGCCAACTAAAGTCCTTTGGATGAGACGGCAGCGTGTTCTTCGGAGGTTGCTCCGAAAATACCGTGAAGCGGGAAAGATTGACAAGCACCTGTGCGTTTCACTTTCTATCACATGAGTCTTTTCTTGATCTCTCAATCCTCTCCTTACCAAAAGCTACCACACCCTCTACCAAAAGTCCAAGGGTAATGTCTTCAAGAACAAGCGTGTGTTGATGGAGTATATTCATAAGGCAAAGGCGGAGAAGTCCCGCACAAAGATCCTCTCCGACCAGATGGAGGCCCGCCGCATCAAGAATAAGGTGCAATCATCTATCCCTCACAATCCGATCGAGTATTCCCTTGTACTGATGAATGTTGTATTTGCTTTACATTGCAGGCGATTCGGGAGCGCCGTGCTGCGCGTGTTGCGGAGAAGAGAGAGGCTATTCTTGCGGTGGAGCACGAAGGGGCCAAAGCATGAGGTGTCTTGTCTTATCCCCCGGATTCGCATTATTTTATGCCATGCCACGCCATGCTGCATACATGCCAGCATGAATGTACTCCAGGTCATTGCCATGCTCGCATGTATTTGTGTGTGTACGAGGGTCTCATAGTCAATGAGGGTGTCTGGTGTCTGTCGTTGTTCGTAAACCCGTCTTAAATGTGGCCGAAATGGCAAAATGGCAAGGCCGTTGGTGGTATCACTTGAAGGGTCACAACCATCATGAGCCCTGCTGTGATACACTACATCTTCAAAAACGATGTCGACCGTAAGTCATTCTCTCCGAAAAAATCGAACACTCTGAATGAAAACATGGATAGGAAAAGCCCATGTTCTCGATCGACGCCCAGGCGAAGTCTTTGTGCACTACCCCGGCACGGACAAGCGCCTCGACGAATGGGTTCCTGCAGATACTGTTCGTGCAGCCACTCCTCCGCGAGGTTCTACCTCCCCCGGCCGTGATGAGACACTGTCGCCTCGCATGAACGGTATGGGCACCCGCAAGCGACGACGCTCGGCATCCCCTGCAAAAGCACAGGATCGAGATGCCCAGGTCACGACACAACCCCCTGCAGCCCTATCAACGATAGCCTCGGCCCGGCGCAACTTTGACAAGGTCAACTTTGGGCCTTGGCAGATCAAAACCTGGTGAGTGCGGTACTTCCGTTCTTTGTTTTTGCCCTGCTTAGTGGGCAGGGGGGGCTTTCGGGCTGACATGACCATTCGTCTCTCCCCTCTGCCACAGGTACTTCTCCCCGTACCCACTCACGGATGGGGATGGCGAGGACGCTATCGGACATGGACGTACGATGGACCTCTTCGCAGGTGCGGTCAACCGCGAGAACGCGGGTGGCGTTCTGTGGGTGTGCGATCGGTGCTTCAAGTACATGACCGACGGAACGTCGTGGGAGGTACACATGGTGCGTTCCGCGGTTTCCCATCTCCCTGGGGCATTAATGGGAGGCTTATTTACGTGCTCGTGCTCATCCCACGCGTGACACATGCCCACAGAGGAGGTGTACGCGTAAGCACCCACCGGGTAGGAAGGTGTACCAGCGAGGCGCGCACACGATCTGGGAGGTAGACGGCGCGAAAGAAAAGGTGCATATGCGCAGGCCGCGGTCAATTTTCTTTTCTTACGCGACGAGAGCAGCTATATTGCCAGAATCTGTCACTATTTGGAAAGCTGTTCATCGACATCAAGACACTTTTCTTCGACTGCGATAACTGTGAATGCCTGCATCCCCGTCGATCTAAAGCACATTGCTTATGTACCCGAGCAGTCCTTTTTTATATCTTTACCGACGCCGACTCCCAACGAGATCATGTCCTTGGCTTCTTCTCAAAGGTAACTGATTGGCCCCACTCGTTCAAATTTCTTTATTTAACACAACCTTTCAATAGGAAAAAATATCCTATGATGACTACAATCTCGCATGTATCGTAGTTCTTCCTCCATATCAGAAAAAAGGTTACGGAATGCTCTTGATCGAGTTCAGTAAGCGAATACCTCTTCCTCTCCATATTCTTGGCTGACCTACCGGATAGGTTACGAGCTTTCTCGCCGTGCTGGCCGCATTGGAACTCCTGAGCGTCCTCTCTCCGATCTCGGTCTACGCAGCTACTTAGCCTACTGGGTGTCTACCATTATCCGATTCCTCCGGTACGCTCTCCAGCTCCGATCCACCTCGTTGCCCACCTCGACCTTACTCTCGCATACAACCAGCCAACTTCTCTCCACGCTTCCGCCCGACCTATCCCCAATCAAGACCGTCGGCCACCTGCCCGACCTCTCTCACGTCCGCACAGACGTAGACACGATGCCATCCCCGCAGAAGCGCACCAAGCGCACCAAAGGCTGGGACGGCGAGTCAGCGGCGCCGAGCTCGCCGGAGGCGGGGGGTAGTGCGTCGCCCGCAACGCGCGACAGCTTTGGCCTTGGCCCATCGGGGCCCGCGGTACACATACAGTTCGAAAAGATGTACGAGACGGTGCCTGCGCCGGACGGGAGCGCGGCGGTGCACACAGTGGTGCGCTGTACGCTCGCAGAACTTGCGCGCGCGACAAATCTGCGCGTCGAGGATGCCGCGTTTGCGCTGAATGAGTGCGGGCTGCTCGTTCGGAGGGAGGGCGAAGGCGACGCGATGACGATCGCGATCTCGCGGGAGATGGTCGAGGCCGTCGCGCGGGAGCGGAATGTCAAGCGGATGTGTATTGACTTTACAAAGGTCTTGCTCTAAGGTCGCTTCGTGCGTGTACTCCTTGTGAGGATACGGTCATTGCTCGAAAGTGTCTGCCACTCAAACCGTCGTAAATTCGCGGTACTGTCCCTAGGGGAAAAAATTGAGAATTAGGACTGCGGCACCTGAGGGGAACTCGACTCGTGAACACTCTGTTGGAAGAGGTCCCTTCATACGTTCTTCTTGGGTAAGACCTGCCTGACTCGATGATCCCTACCTACCGGCCAGCCATCCGCACCCGCAGATCAGTCATGACGTTCACTCGCCGCAGAAAGACTCTTCACACAATACAGCCAAAAGAGAATAGAGACCCAGAATTAGGAACGTGGGACCGTGAGCTGCTCTGATGGGCATCTGCCAATTGGCCATGACAGAGTTGTTCTCGTTTGGCCGCGAGAACAACGCAGACCAAGGAGTAGTGAGCAGCAGGCTCAGGATCACCAGTGGTGTACCGTTGATTGGCCTCCGAGTGGTGAGATTGTCCGTGTAGATCCCCATACGGCTTGAACAACAACATCGAAGCTCGCGTGTTGAAATCAGCAGTCTCAACAGCGAAGGCTGGAAACTGCTGTGGGCTAGACCTCCTGGTGATATCGGAGCGGCCGTGCACCCTCGCGGTCTTGTTGCGAAGACAGAGAGATTGTAGCCTTTTGTCAGGGTCCCCGGAGATGCGCTTAGCGTGGATGGTGCCGCTGGCATTCCCCCAATTGATTGAATCATTTTGCTAGCCGGAGAACACGTCTCGGTAATTTCCTAAGCGGGCTTTCACGGGATGGAGACTGATCAACCAGAAGGGGGACAAGATGGTGACAGTAAGAAGGACAGAAACCTGTGAAGAGCCGAACTCGCAAGTATCACAAGATAGAGCTAAGGGCAGATGCGTATGAGTATAAGTCTAGATTTCATTCATCTTCACAGTCCTGCTGCCGACAGTTGTCAGTTGTCAGAGAAATGAATGGTCATTCTGAGGTACTACTTATGATCCACTAATTCCGCTGATGGCCGGGGTAGCTCAGCTGGGAGAGCAACAGACTGAAGCCCGACCTGTAGGAGTCTTCCACAACTTCGGTGCATTCTGGAGGTCCCGTGTTCAATCCACGGTCCTGGCATTTTTGCCGATGAAACCTACCAATGTACACGGTCACGCCAGAGGTTGTACAACGCCCATGTTCACGTGTATTCTGGACATCCCCTAGATTGAATGTGCGGGAGAGATAGACGGCAAACTGTGAAGCATGTGAAGCTTGAAGCTTAAAGTTGTGGAACCGTGACAACGCCAATTTGGAACCTTACGAGCACAAATGCATAACTGCAGTGCTGATATATAGATGCGTAAATCCTCAGGCCTCAGCCAGTGAATCTCACTGGCTCACTGGCCACCGCATTGAGTGACCGGGTGTAAATCCGGGCGCGGCACAATCCGGGCGCAATGAGGTTGGCTCGCAGGGTTGCAAAAACTAGGAATTCGTCGAAAGGTAATCGAGAGGTTCACTCAGCATACAACATAAGACTGATCTAGGGCCTTGAATTAACAGAAACGAAGATACCTCCCCACGATGCCTGGCTCTGTGGTTGCGCTCCGGTGGAAGACTGGCAGGCAGCACATTATCCAGGACTGACCAAGAAATGTCTCGACACGGGAGGAAGGTCTCCCCGAGTGAAGAACACACAGAGGTGCTGTTCACGGGGGCGCACGGCATGGCCAAGAGTTGATGAGATAATGGGTAACAATGAAAAAGAGTGAGTGACTCTGTATCTTGTTCCTTTCACAGCTCACCAATTTTTTGTCTCCGAGTCGTCTGGGAATGCCAGCCAGCAAGGCGGGGGAATCATTATCAACTGTGTTGTGTTGGCTTGGCGCCCGGCGGGCGCCGCTAGTGACTGCGATTGAGGGCGGAACCAGCTGCTCATTCGTCCTTGAAATGGCACAAGTCACAGACACCGGAATTATAGACGTGGTACTGTAAACGGAGCTCAGCGGAAACCAGGGACTGTCTCAATTACCTCTTGATTCCCCGATCACGCAACGGAGAATCAGATTGGCATACAGTTGACTTTCTCATAATGCATAATGCACAATCGTTAACCATTTCTTTTTTCCCCAAGTAACTCCACTCAAAAATTGACATGGTTGTGATGACTATCTATGTCTACCTATCCTTCCATTTACACGCACTCCTGAGCCATCAGTAAAGAATCGGAAGCAACCCGATTGCTAAGCGCCCGATGCATTATGAGAAAGTCAACTGTAGTAGGGCTGCGGACCATTTGAGTAACAGCGGAAGCTCGGGAGACACCTTCGTTATATTCAAAGCATCAACGCATCAGCATGTCAAGATGTCAACCCTCACCGTGACGCCGCCGACTTGGGTTATCTCGAACTCCAGGTGCATTTCACGTAAGGCAATGATGATCACTGCACTTGCCTGTCGGCGTTGACCAGGCTGGAAACATTTCATCTTGGGTTCTGTTCCCCTCAATCTTGGCTTAATTAAACAAGGCGAATAGGCATTATCCACCTCTACTGTGACTTACACTGTCCTCCCTATACTTACTCTCACGGAAGACCTCGTGACCCATATTAATATTCTCTACTTCATTGATATAATGTCCTTCATGCAACTCATCTTTGACATTTTAAAATGTAATCCAATTTAGGTCGAAAAAATACTGAAACCTGACTGGATGGCCGCTCAGTGTTGAATTGGCTCACAATCTTGAATGCCCACTGTGGATTCATCTCTCAAGCTTTCATCTCTAATCATCTCCAACTCTCAGTTTTCAACGCCATGACGCACGCCACGGAGGGCCAGAGCGCCAATGCCCCCTACAGCCAAGCCGAGTATATGAGTGTGAAGGAGACAGCATCGATGCATCATCACTGGTAAGACGGGCCAGGTGTTGCCGACCAGAACCCCACGACCCCCCACACGCTAGAACATCTCCGCGTAACATGCCAACTTCCCCACAGGGTAACGATTGGAGGACTGACGCGAACGGGGCATCACATGCATCACACCCACCACTCACCGACAACTTTCGATGGAACCAATGACGTATCGAGTGGAGGCTCCACCCAAGGATGTCCAAGGATGTCCAAGTCGTCAGCAAGAAGAGGAGAGTGCTAAGGTGAAGTGGATCCTGTAGCGTAGAGTACCGCTACCAGCGCGAAATGCGCGTCAGGCGCATGCGTATCAGGGCGCTCCGCGAGGAGTGTGAGATAGTAGTCGCGCACATGCGAACACGATTAGAACAAGCCTACGCAACCAAGCAGGGCGAGGTAGTGGAAGAGGTAAAGTAATGGAAGAAGGTTCCAATGTAGACGATATTGAGGTTGACTCCAATTGGCGCATACTGAGACGTTGTCGTCAGCTGAGTACGAGTGGTAGCTGACAGGATCCTTGAAATATTGGTATTGCTTTGAGTATTCTGGAGGGTATATTAGGGTGATGCGTGATCAACGACAAACATAAAATGATTTGTAGTTCAAGGCATACCAAAATTGAAAAGTTTAACTCATTGCATGATTGTATCGTCCAGCTGTGCGAAGACATCAACCGACAACCCTGCATTTACGATCTCTGCGAATCACCACTTGCACCCCTCTCTAGCACAAGTGCCCTCTGTGATCGCAATGTCGGGGACGAGGGTGCAAGAATAGCTTCTAGAAACGACCAAAGGGTCGCCATCTCCGTCACATCCGCGCCGACATCTGTCATTGGCGTGCCTTCCTCGTCATCCTTGTGTTCGATCAACCATAAGTATTGGATGATGGTACGATGACTTATTTTCCCTCCAAGTTAGCCATGAGGGTCCAACACCACTTTTGCCCTTTAGCACGTACGACGAGGGAAGTGACATTCGATGATTACCTAACTGCAACCCATGAGCGCCATGTGTTGGCCTTTGCCCCATGCGACTTACGCCTCAACACTTATCTCTCCAAGATGTCTGACAATATTGAATTGGGCATTAATGAGAACCTAGGCACACTCGGAGCGGACGCCGCCACGGGTAAGCCTTCTTGTTTGACTACCTCGTCCTCCCTTGGTCAAACTTGAGACGTGTAGATATCGACAATAGCCCTACCAGTCGGCCTCAGATATCTAGTCATACATCCCCATTAGAAGCTGGGTTTTCCGATGGATCAGGTGCTCTGTTTTCCATTTTCATGAAAATAGCGGAAGAAGAGGACAAGAAGATGACCGACAACTGGAAAGGTGATGCAGATGGCATCATTCTCTTTGTATGCACAAGAAAATATGTCTTATTATCCCGCATTCTAACCTGGTTTTGTAGACTACTTTGTTCTCTGTCATAGTCGCTGGATTCCTTGCACTGGCTTATCCAAACCTTCAGCAAAGCTCTCAAGACACTTCTGCTTTCTACCTTGCGCACCTGTACCAAGTCTCGGCCGCTAACAGCTCAATTGCTCCTGTTCTTCCTCTTCCTCCCAATCTTTCTGATCCATCCACATTTTCAGCATCTTCATCTGCCATCTGGGTCAATGTACTCTGGTTTATGAGCCTTATAATCAGTCTTACTTGCGCACTTTTAGCGACGATGCTGCAACAGTGGGCGCGGCGATACCTCCGAGTGACCGGGAAGCGGTACAGTCTCCACAAGCGTGCACGGATTCGCACATTCTTTGCAGAAGGAGCAGACAAATGGTATCTTCCATGGGTAGTAGAGGCACTACCTGGGCTCCTCCATGCATCTGTCTTCCTGTTCTTCGCCGGCCTACCAATATTTCTGTTCGGAACCAACCACACGGTTTTCACCGCAGTTCTCTCATGCGTTGTCACGAGCGGTCTTGCGTATCTACTCATTACCTTCATGCCGTTGGTCTGCCATGACAGTCCATATCACACCCCGCTTTCCACACTTCTTTGGTTCTTAGATGCTGGAATACGGCACCATTTCCTCTGGTTATCTGAGCTTTACGTCTTCTACTGTTTGAATATCCTTGTCGTCGTATCGGCTGCCGCTCAGCGCCCCTACTACCCTCCTAGGCCCATCCATAGAATGCTACGTAACCTCTCAACCTCCGTGAAAAGGCAGTACCAGCGGTTACGGAGCGGCCCGATCAAAGAGGTGGAGATGTCTGCTCTCGAGTCATCCTGGGAGATTGACGCCCGAGGATTGTCATGGGCGTTTGATTTTCTGGACGATGAACATGACCTAGAACGGATTCTTGCGGCCATCCCTGGATTTTACAACTCTGGTCTGGTGAAGGAATCTCAGAGAATCCTTACTGCAGTCTCGGAAAGGATATCAAGTGCCGTATTACAATTGATGGATCGTTCGCTTTCATCTGATTTAGTTCAAGAAGACGTGAGGAAAAGGAGGGGCGCAATGTGCTTGAAAGTTCTGGAAGTTCAACCGGATTTGCGACACGCGACTATTCAACAGTCTCTACATTTCATCGGCACGGGTGTGTTCAAATGGATCGACTTGGGACTTCTTGCAGAGCGAGATGACAATTTTGGGGCCAAGTGTGTCACTGCCCTGGTGACCGTATACACACGCGGATCTGATGGACGCTTTCCCTCGTCTATAATGGGCCAGTTACGCGTGTCGGGGCCATACGTAGCCCAGGGAGACGACTTGTTGTTCTTTAATCTCCTCGACTTCATGCTGTGGCTAGTTCTCCACCACCGCTCAGTTTCTCGTTCTGATTTCCAGGTTGTGGAAAACGTGTTGGATGCGTTGTGCAAATTTGACGTCGCAGGCACTTCGCCTGAACTACAGCATCCGTTTTGCGCTCTGTGGAATGTCTTTTTGGACTTTCAGGAGCACGCCCCCCAGAACCTCGCAGCGGCAAATTTGCGGGACTTCGTGCGGCTCCAACGGACTTTCACACGGGGCTTCGTGCGGTTCCTGCGAAGTCCCGTGCATCCTTTGGCGGGAAATATGGCGGAGGAGTTCCAGCGGTTCTTTTCGCAGAGTCGGTCGCAAACTTCCCTCGCCCCCCTACTACGTTTGCTCTTAAACCGCATCGTCACCGTGTACAATGCTTTACATGCAAGCTCCGATGTCGCAGCAGCTACCCTCCCGGTACCTCCAGACGCTTGGCACGAAGATGACCCAGTAGAGCGCTCATACCCAC